ATATCTTCTCAGCAAACAGATAAATTAGTCATTAGTTATTTAAAGTCCATAAATGCAGGAATGCATTCCTCACAAAGAGAGGGTTTGGTAAGGAAGAGTAATGATTGAATTGATGTGACAATATGAGGAGAAAGGCAGACAGATGGTTTAACCACCAGGAAAACTTTGAATAAGAATGAAAAATTCATGAGGATAATCCTAGTTGAATAATCTCTGGTTGATTTGAGAAACATAAAAAAAAAATAACTTGGGTTTGTATTCTACTTTATGGTCAATAAACATTCATGTACATACATGTAAGTAATAAGGAAAATTCTGAGTATGATAACCATGAAAAGAGACATTCACTGTCAATCACAGTCACCTTGCATTTCCTTTCAGTAGGGACAAATGATGCCTGGCCTTGGCTCATTCTATAATAGCAGAGTTTCTGTACCAACTAAACTCAGTGTTAATACATCCTGGTGGGAAAATTTTAACTGTATTTCTCATTTTTGAGTAAAAATGTGGTTTGTTTGTCTACATCTTTGCCCATAATACTGTGACAGCCACCTACTTGCCTTCTTCAATTTACAAGCAATAAGATTCTTTATATTAAATTTCATGTAACAAATCAAAAGACCTAAATTGCAGTCCCAATGTTACAACTCATTTAGTTTTTTATATGTAGATTTGGTATAATTACTGTGCTGCTCAACTCTACAGTTAAACTTCTGATTGATGGAGTGATCTTTGGAGTGAAATCACAGGGGATCTAGTCAGTTCCATATACCAGCTCTGTAATCTGGGGCAGGTTATTTCATCACCCTCTTAGGCTCAGTGGCTTAATCTGTAATGTTGACTAATAAAACTGCTACCTCCTGGGGCTTCATTGAGAATGAAATGAGGTAAACTGTATCAAATAGTTAAGATTAGTGCCTAGCTCATAAGAGGTACATACTGTTAGTAATATTAACATTTAAATAACTTATAATAAATGATTTTTTAATATTTTGAGATATTTAAAACATAGAAATTTACGAAGACTAATGGAAAAAATACATATACTCTACAATTCAGAAAATAACTATTCCTTTATGGTCATACTTCCTTCCATACTTTCTTTTATTCCTAAATAAAACATTATAGACAGAAAGTCCCAGTCTTTGACCCAGTTTCCTCTACAGAGGCATCCACTATCATCAGTTTTGTATCTACCCTTCTAGTTCATTTGTATATACCTATATGTTTTTTCTTAACCATCATTTGATATTTTTAAAAATTGCCATTGATTCTTTCGATAGATGCAGAAAAAGCATTTGACAAAGTCCAACACACCTTTATGATAAAAACTCTCATCAAAATAGGCATAGACGGCTCATTCTTTAAAATTATCAAGTCCATCTATGACAAACCCACTGCCAATATCATATTGAAT